GGTTTTTGAAGTGACTGAAGCTGACCAAGTTTGCGATGGGCAGGATTCATGGAAGTGGAAAAGACTGAGGAGTGTTTACAGCAGAACCAGGGAATCACACATCAGTGAGAGAACACACAAGGATTGAGAATAGAAAGATCACTAAATAAAGGGATCACAAAGGTGGGAGCTGGCAAGGTGTGGCTGTAGCGGGTCCCCATGGCGGGAATATAGACAGACCAGAGTGTCGCAAGAGATAACAACACTCACATAGGAGGAAAGCACTGAAGGTGACCTGACACCTCTTAGACCCTGTCAATTTCTTCAGATGTGCCCTCTGATCGAAAAGGGGAGTACAGAGATTACATTACAAATGATCACTGAGAAAGAAGCAAGAGAAAGTCTAATGTGAATTATCATAAAGGTCACTGAGGGCATTCCTGTAAAACTTGATAGCTGTAGATCAGTCGTATTGGGGAGAGAGTCATAGATTATGGCCATTTCTGCTGCTTAAAAAATGTTCTGTTTCTAGCATTATTCTAAAAGCATGGTGGGGGGGGGACTACTGTTAAAAGAGGAAGAGAAAAAGGGGGAGGATCCAGAGTAGAGGTGTAAGGGAGGATAATGGTGGAATGGATCTGATCAAAATATCTTCTATGCATATGTGGAAATAAAAAATAATAACAAGTAAAAGTATTTTTAATCACCCAGTTTTTTTGGCCTGCTCTTCCTGCCATACTCCCTTGTGCACAGATTTTCAAACACCTGTCCTTGCAAATGAAAATATCTTTGTTGGTCTCCTAAAAAAATATGAGGATTCTGAGCCTTTCTGTGGTGACTATTTCAGCTGCTAACACCAAAATACTGACTTAGCTCTTAATATGTTGAATTTAAATTTGGAACAATTACTACTAGACTACATTTAGATTATTGTCCATTTTCAAACATTTTGATCCAGCCCAATAGACCCAAAATTCTTTGTTTCCCAGAAATCTGGTTTTCCACTGTGGATGTCTAAGCTACCTTTAAAATGCCTGAACTCCAAACTGTCATATTAGCCGGGTAAGAGATAAGGAGAAAGAAAAGTATCCAGTCATCCAACCACATTTCTGCTCTTTTGTACAAGCTGCAGATGAAATACAGTCACTCAATAAAGTCCTTCTGTTTCTCTTTCCCTCCCTCCCTTTCTCTCTCCTGATTTGCCTGGAGTGGGGAAACCTAAACCCTTTGGAGCCCCGCCAGCAACACCAAAAGAATCTCTTGACTATTTTCCCAGGGAATTCCTGCCTTAAATGTCAGCACAGTACAACACTCCAGCCAAAGCAGAGTCCACCTGGATCAGAATCAAGGCAACTGTGCCCGTTGTACCAAATGGGAAAAGCTGGATCCAACCTTGGAACAAGGAGACAAGGAGAGAAATTGGTTTTTGAAAAGTTCAACATCCATTAGAAAGGTTTTCTCAAGTTCAACTCAGTAAGAGACAGGAGGCTAAATCCAACATTCCTTGCTGTTGTCTCATTGTTGTTTCTATTGTACTTTGTTGGTGGGGAACATATCTGAATTATAACCATAAGGCGATGCCTCTTTAAGAAGGGAGCAAAGCCTCATTAAGCCCTTTGTTGTGGTGGTTTGGGCTGCTGCTCTGTTTATTTGCTGGTTTTTAATGAACATACTGATATCTAAGTGCTCTGGGGGGAATTCATGATGCTAAGATTCATGAAAGGCAAAATAAGATTTATGAGTTAGGATTGACTCTGCCCCACCAGCCTGGAGACACTTCCCGTCTGGTACTGAGGCATTGCTGGCATTTTTAGTGCCTTTGTTTCTCTCTTCAATTTCTGAACACATGAAGAAATGTTAAAAGCTCTGAGGGCAGGGGTGGGAGAAGGAGTCTGAAAATCTCAAAGATATACATCATATACCAAAAGAAAACAGGATGATGGAGTAGATTAAAAACTCAGAAGCAAAATGTGTCGATCAGCTCATTTTTGCCAGGGACTCTCGTTATTTGCATTTAACCTTCTCTCAGCTTCCTTGTGTATTATAGTCCAGTAGCCTCACAAGGCTCTTTCACTAAAAATTCACAAGGTTGCCTGCCATGGATAAGTAATTGTAAATCAACATGTCACTGTCCTATCCCCAAAGAGCATAGTACTATGTAATAAGAAAATTGAGATTTAATTAATAAATTGCTATTCCATTTTAAAATGCATCAGACCCTCTGTTGTGGTTTGGATATGTTATGTCCCCCTGAAGTTTCCTTATGTTAGAGGCTTGGCTGCTGATAGGTTAGGAGGAACCGGCTGGGTCATGAGAATGCTAACTTCATAATGGATTAATCCAGTGATGAGCTCATAATTTTCCTGGTGTTACTGGGAGTTGATGGGAACAGGAGGCGGGGCTTAGTAGAGGGAGAAGGGCATGGGAATACCACCCTGGGGCCCCTATCAGGTGCCTGACCTCTTTCCCTCTCTTCTTCAAGGCTGCCATGAGGTGAGCAGCTTTCCTCTGCCGTAATCTTCCTGTCTCACTTCAAGCCCGCAGGAATGGAATGAGCTAACATGGACAGAAGCTTCTGAAACCATGAGCCAAAATAAGCTTTTTCTTCCTCTGAGTTGTTTTTCACAGGTATTTTGTCACGGCAACAGAAAGCTAACAGCCCCCTTAAACTCACCAGAGGGGAAAAGTACATTGATCCTTACTCTTGTTTGAATCTAAGCCTGGATACAGAAAGTTCAGCTCAGAAGCTATTACTTAATATTCACCAGGGCTCCTCACACCTGGGCTGCCTCCACTGCCAGCCACCACAAGCATGTTACAGCCACTTGTTTCATCATCATACTCTGCATACATCACCACAACCAACCCTTTGGGTAATTTCTGTCCCTAAAGAGGAGAAAAGCCAGGCAAGTCACTGGCTATTGTCTGGAGCTGGTGGTGTTGTGGGAAGATCAGCAACACCATCTCAAGCCTAAAAGGATGATCAGCAATACTTAATAAGAAAAACTACCTCCGGGAGATAAAGAGTTAATCCTCGTTCAGTTTTAAGCCCTTCTGTCCAGAGTACTAATAAGTGTGTGAGTTGATTCAATTAGGGTGGCCCTGCCCTTGATGGGAACAGTGATCGCTTAGGAACAAGACCGTCAACACATTAGCCAGGAGGAGAGAGAGAGAGAGAGAGAGAGAGAGAGAGAGAGAAACTGTGGTAACTAAGTTGTGCTGGCACTTGGTGAAATGGCAACTGAAGCTGCCATGCAGAGAATGCTAATGAACCCAGGGTGACCGCAAAGAGAGGACCTGACAATGTTCCCCACCAACCAGCCACCCAAGGAGCCTGGTCTTTGTGGATTCCTGCTGACCTGGCTCCAAGAAAGCACCGGGACAGTAGAATATGGTTGCTTGGCTTTACACAGCACAGAAGCACTTCAGACTCTGTTTTCTTAGGGTCAAAGCCATTCCGTGTACTGCATCTGCCTAGCAAGCTAAAGTTTTCAAAATTATAAAAAAGATGTTTCACTTTTGTTAAAAATCTCAATCTTGAATCTAAATGGTCAACAGCTTTAAGAATCAATATGACACGTTTTAAGTGTTCTTTATGGATTCACATAGATCTCCCCTGCCCCCTCATCAGAATTTATTCTGACCATCAGAGAACATATTTTAAAAGGGCTGAAACTACTGATGTGTAATAATCAGTGTGCAGCCTTATTCTTAAAATGTAAATCTGGTCATTGTTACCTGACAATGCTTGAAGGAGTACTCAAGTGTCTTTCTGAGGCTCACTCTCAAAGTTTTAATTCCTTGTCCTAAAGAGATCTTGGTACCTTCTCTGAAGCGCACAAATGAGGCCATGGAACATTTAAAAGCATAGTAGGCTTTCTCTTCTCTTTGTATTTCTTTCTTACCATACTTTATTAAAAAAAAAAAACTTATAAAGACCCACCTGAAATGAGGTGGTAAGTGGACAGATAGGGGAGTACATGGGTAGAATAGGTTATAATCACAGCTTTCATTGTTTAGCTGAGTGGTTGGTTCATGGATACTCATTATATTGATTAAAAGTCATTAATTAGCTATTATACAATAAGACAACCATATATACACCATGATAACAGAATATCATAAACCAGGGATTATGATTTATCCAATTCTATACACTAAAGGATTCTTTAAAGAAAAATAATAATAATGAAATGCTGATACAGGGAACTAGTTCTTAGGACCCTTGAAGTTCACTCAACTTCTTAGGCAGGAATATCTTCAGGAGTGCTCAACTTGTGTCACTGCACAGGGACTACATTTAGGAGGGCTGCATCTTCTGGTTAATACCCTGACAAATCATTAATAATTTTTGAGCAAAGAGTTGTCCACTCATTTTTCACTGAGACCAGCAAATAATACAGTAGTCTTGTCCCTAGATTTCCAGATATTAAATTTACCTACAGTTCCCAATAATTTTGTCCCCATTCCCATCTCTATTTTTTTTTAAAAATTGCTGCATCTTACCTAAAAAATTATTAACAATATGGCATTCAGATGAGCACCCTTGAGCAGTCTTATTTCCTAATTTTCCTTATTTTTTATTGTGCAAATCAGTGTTGCCTATCCTATAAATGGAGCTGCAGTTATATATCATGCTTATAATGCTTCTTCTGTAATAAAAAACTTCAAATAGCACTCATTGGTTATTTACCACTCAAAATGAATGTGCTGAAGTCTAGATCACAATTTATCTCAATTGCAGGACAATGCAAATCTGTTTTCTGATAGTTGTCCAATTCCAACTACAACATAAAACAAACAGGACAAATTCTCGGCAATTCCTTGTGGAGGAAGAATTCAAATAAAAATTGGGAGAAATCCTCCACTGCAAAGAAGATTGGCTAAAGAAACATGATGTAAATCAATCCTTGAATTCCTGAAATGCCCTGTGCCTATAGTGATCAGGTACAGAGAAGTTATTTCAAGTTCAAACATAACTTAGCCATTGCCACATGGGGCAGAATCTTTCCACCCTGCACTCCAAAACCCAATCAGACGAGGGGCCGTAATCTGACTCCTAGCACACTGGGAGCAGAGGGGCAGGCAATGAGCGCTGCACTCTGGCCAGGGAAGGCATGAGTGATAGACCCGCAGCGAGGCGGTGGGGGTAAGTCCTTCTTTGCCTTAAGGGAACAATGCACAGGGCCAAAAGATGAGATTTCTTTTATTACAGATCTCTGTGCTTACTCGGGCTGAATGGGGAAGGCAGCTACAGGACAGGCGGGTGGTTCTTTTAAGTCCAGATACTGACCATATTCAGAAGAGAGGCATAGAGAAGTAGGGAAAAAGGGATGCTTTTTAGCAAAATCCTCCGTATGAAGACCTGTGGGAGCGTTCGGAGATGGCTGTATGGAGTTAAGTCTATCTGTGGTAGTTTCCATCCGCAAAATTACTCACCCAGAGACTCAGCTGTCCAGGAGTGGGTGAGACTGGGTGTTCTGCTAGCAAGTAATGTGTCCAGTTCACTATAGCCCGGTCACATCAACAAATCCCCTTTGTTCTGGGGCAAAAGCAGCAGAACAAATTGTGTCAATAATTTCCAGTGAGAGTGAACACATAAGGGAACACTGATGACGGTAACGGGGGCCTGGAGCGACGCTGAGCTGAGCCCTCCCAAGGCCAAAGGTAGGTCCCAGTCACTAAACTTGGGGTTCACAACAACTCAGGCTACTTGCTCTGCCCTGTAAGACCAGATTGGTTGGATTTTTTAAAATCTAAAAACGTGCCTGAAAAGTATACTTTGTTTTGTTTGTTGAGGTGTTTTGCTGTTGCTTTCTCTGCCTGATGCAATGTGAAGCTGAAAGAGCAACTGTGTTTCTTTAAATTAGGTGTCTGGAGAGATAGACAGGTGTGAGGATGGGCACCGAGAGCTCCAGGGACTCCAGAGGTGGAGAGGGATGGAGGGGTGTCCAGGGAGGCTGGTCTTTTCCAGGACTGCCTCCCCAGGCTGCTGAGAAGTAAAGTGAATTTCCTGCCAGCCAGCCTCCTTTGCTTCCTTCTTTGTCTTCCTATTTTTCCCACTAACTTAGGGCCACAGCCGACAGCACCTGTCACAGCACCTTGCACCTTTGGGGCAAGGTGCAGCCCTGGGATGCTGATGACTTCACAGGTGACTCTCCTAGCTCCCGTTTCAGCTTCTGAGTGCTCTGAGTTTCTTCCCCATGGGGACGTTTTTCATGGCTCTCCCTGGGTGCCCTCAATGCCCCGTTCTGAGTGCTGTTTTTGTCTCTTGATAGCCTCTTCCTCTAGTAAGTGTGACCTCCCAGCTGAGGATCTTCATAATTACATGATACACTTAGGTTTCCCTTGGGCCCAGAAGGATGCTTGGGGTACAGCTGGCTGGCCCCCCTCAGCCAGTCCTTCCTTTTTCCTGCCACCCAGCTTGAGCTGAAAAAAAAAATCTCTTAAATTTCTTAAAGTACTTAGCTTTTTCCCTAAACTTTTTACATAGGCCTCTAATTAGATTCTCTGCTAAATATTCCCTATACTCCTCTGTTCTCATGGCTATCCCAGGCAAAGGGCAAGGACAAATGTCTTAGATAATGGGGTAATTGGAGGGTAATTGCCCTCTCAAAGGGGAGTTTGGGATACCATTTCATGCCAGAATGAGCAGTTGGCTTTTTTGTTTGGTTTTGTTGTTCCTGGGGCTTGAACCCAGAACCTTCACATCTGGCTACATCCCAGTATCCCAGTCTTTTGTTTGTTTGTTTGTTTGTTTGCTTGTTTGTTTTGAGACTGGGTTTGAAGTTGCCTGGGCAGGGCATCAACTTGTGACCTTCCTGCCTCAGACTCACAGAGTTGTTGGATTACCAGCATGTGCCCCCATGCCCAGCCAGAAATTGGCATTAAGGTCCTCAAATCCCAGCTCTTCTCAGCTCCAAAGATCCCAAGGAACTAAGAAGAAAGACTGGAAGGGGGAGTGTCTTTCCTCCCAATGGTGCCTCGCTGCCCAGCATCCCAAACTCCACCCCTACACACACACACACACACACACACACACACACACGCACGCACGCACGCACGCACGCGCGTCTCCGAGGGAGGCACTCTCCTCCAGGGCCAAGACCCCACAAGAGAAGGCCACAGGAAGCCTGGAGAGCAAACCACTCCTCTCAGAGAAAGGCTCCCTGCCACGCCCCTCTCCTGTCTAGCTGGCAGAAGGCTACCTCTGCGCTGGTTACTACTTCACCCTCAAGAACACTTGGGGTGAGCTGAGGGGTGGATTCAGGGCTTGAGAGAGGGTCAGACAAGAGGGTCAGCTGTCCTTCCTCCTCCAGCCGTTCAAAAGCATCCCTTACCCCTGCTCCCCGCAACCCCGGGCCTCTCTGTCCATCCGGCAGCTGCCGCGATCCTGGTCCAGCCCGGAACGGCCCCGCCCCGCCCCGCCCTCCAAGGGGCCACTGCAGGCTCCCCTGGGGCCGGGTTGGTCACCGTCCCATGCCGCGCGCCCAGATCTGGGCCCTGCGCTGTGTCCCCGGCCGCCCAGCTCCAGGGCTCCTCCTGCAGGCTGTGCGCTCACTCCTGGCGCGGGGCAGAGGGAGAGAGCGTGTCCCAGCTGAGCCACTGCGGCGCCCCCCAACCAAGGATGCCCCGTGCCAAGCACCGGAAGCTCCCGTCCCCTCCGGGAAATTACCTTCTTAAAAGACAGTGCCGGCTTCCTAGCAGGCCCCTCTAAATCCGCACTCTCTGCTGGGGGTCGGGGTGGGGCCGCAAATCTATTTTCAGAGCTTGCCAATTTGAAGGGGCAAAGTACAGAGCTCAAAAAGACTTGCCTGCTTTACTGCTTTATTTTCAAAATGTAAATGGCATCTGAAAAGCACAAACTTTAAAAGTTGCTCTAAGGGAATTAACCACAAGATAAATACGATAGAGACATTTTCCTTCCTAGGGACAGTTGGAGTCGTTGTTCAATGAAACTGAAAGATCTTTGTATATTAAAACAAAGGAGACTAAAACAACAGCCTCTTGACTACTAATTAAGGTTTTGTAGAGCGTTCTTTCTTGGTTTCCATATATTTGACAGCTCCTGCCTCACAGTCCCAGCAAAACTGAAGGGCTGGCCCCTTGCCCCTAACTCCATAAACCCTTGCAATTTTGAGGCTGATTTGGTGGCGTCTGATGCAGACTTGCTTTTCTTTTCAGCAAGTGTGGACCCTTGTGTACCAGAGAGAACATCATGGTGGCTTTCAAAGGCGTCTGGACTCAAGCATTCTGGAAGGCAGTCACCGCAGAATTTCTGGCTATGCTTATCTTTGTCCTGCTCAGCCTGGGGTCCACCATCAACTGGGGTGGAATGGAAAAGCCCCTACCTGTCGACATGGTTCTCATCTCTCTCTGCTTTGGACTCAGCATTGCCACCATGGTGCAGTGCTTTGGCCACATCAGTGGAGGCCACATCAACCCTGCTGTGACAGTGGCCATGGTGTGCACCCGGAAGATCAGCATGGCCAAGTCTGTCTTCTACATTGTGGCCCAGTGCCTGGGGGCCATCATAGGAGCCGGGATTCTCTACTTGGTCACACCTCCCAGTGTGGTGGGGGGCCTGGGAGTCACCACGGTAGTCTCTGACACTCCTTCTCAGACTAGCACTCACTCCAGGGTGCCTGCAGACTGCTAAATGACATCCTGGTGGCCTTGAGATAGTGTTAAAATTGCTATTTTATGCCCAGGGATTTTTTTTATGTTTCTTGATAGAGTGGAAACTGATTCTAGCAATATCAAAAATATTCATAGGAAATCATTGTTTGCTCATGGGAAACTTGAAAAATAACTAAGTCTAGGTGGCACCAAAATGGTGTTGGGTTTTTTCTGTCCTTCCCATTGGAGTAAATGTGCTATGTATTTATCATAAACCATCTGTTTTATAATTATTTGCTCATGAACAGAAAAACAGTTGTGTTTCTTTTCATACTCACCAAATTTAAAAAGATTTGCATAAAGGGTCACACTTAAAAAACCAAATTGACATTGGATCCTAGTTCTTGACTGATTAGGAATATCATTAGCTGAGTTCCAGAATTTATTTAAACACACACATGCACACACACACACACACACACACACATCACAGTTTAAATTTTAATTGAGATACATAGTAATTTAAACCTAATTAATGGATTTAATCATTGCCTAATAAAATTATAACTCCTTCAAAAAAAGTTTTATAAATGCAGCAGTGGCACATTTAGCTTCCTTTCTAGAAAATGAAATTCAGCATAAAGTCCTGCTTGGTCATTATAAAAGTAATTATCTGTGAAGGTCCAAAATGAGTATAAATTTATTCCTTCTAGGGGAAAAAGGACTGGAGGTTTCAACTAAGGATGGTGTAGAAGATTCAAATCAACCACTACTTTCCATACAGATAAAATACACCTTCCATAATGACAGGTTGTCACAGACATGTGATTCAGATGGGGTATTTTTCTCTCTTCAGGTTCATGGAAATCTTACTGCTGGTCATGGTCTCCTGGTGGAGCTGATAATCACATTTCAGTTGGTGTTTACTATTTTTGCCAGCTGTGATTCCAAGCGGACTGATGTCACTGGTTCAATAGCTTTAGCAATTGGATTTTCGGTTGCAATTGGACATTTATTTGCAGTAAGTTTCCAAGTCCATTTAAATAATTGATCCATCTCATTTACCCTCACCCTAGAGCTGCCCTGAAGAGGCTGCGTTTTACAGCTATAGCTCTTTAGTGTCCAGACATGTCCATTCACTTTAGGTAGTCATTTTACTAACTATATGATGTGAATGTTGCTATGGCTCCTAGCACCTTGAGGTTCCTCTAACTGATGTGACAAATAATGGCAAATGGCAATGAACAACATGTGTTAGAAGCTGTCTTTCGGCAGTGTCTGAAGTTTTCTTCTTTTTTTTTCTGTAGATCAATTACACTGGCGCCAGCATGAATCCTGCCAGATCCTTTGGACCTGCTGTTATCATGGGAAACTGGGAAAACCACTGGGTAACCATCATGTTGATAGCTCCTTTTGTCTTATAGTTGAAGACAGTTATCCATGAGGCTTTTTTTCCCCATTATTTTGCTCACTAGTTTCCGTTGCATCCCCCCAACCTTGATTCTTACTTTATTATATCTTTCATAAAGACAAGGGAAAATCTACCTCAGATCTGCTCCAAAACTTCTCATCTTGTACCTGTTCTGGGCCTTCAGTAATAGTTTTTTGTTGTCATTTGTTTTTTTTAGCACTAGTCTGGGCTCATATCTGACAGACTACAGCAGAATACTTGATACATGGAGGTTGCCTATGTGGGACAAATTAAGGTCAGGGTGATATAGTGAATACAGTGTTTAAATAATTGAAAGAAAAGCCTTCTCAACAATAACAGAAAGTAAAATTGTAAAAATAAATAAATAAATAAAAATAAAGAATAAAGAAAGTCTTAAAAGTACAGTCTGTAGCAAAAAAAATTTTTTTTTGGTTACAAAAGCATAACCCAATTAATAGTGTGTGAGTTGGAAGCATTTGAACTGCAGATGGTACAGAATAAATGGTGCAAATGTTTATGCTATCATCACCATCACTGTGGCTGGGAAAATAAATGCCTACTAGAAAAGGCACATTTTTCAGTCTCATGAATGTGGTGGCAGTGCTTCCAGAGAGTGGTGATATCCATTTTTAACTATCACAATCCATTTTATTTCCATTGCTTCTTACAGCAAAATAAATAAATAAACAAACAAACAAACAAACAAATAAATAAATAAATTCTTCCAATGAGGCATGAAGCAGTTGCGAAGGCCACTCACACATTAACTTACAATAACCAATAAAAATATAAGCCAGCTTCAAGCGGTGCTTTTATGTTATAATGTTATTGCATGACTTTTTAAAATTTATAAATAGAACAGAATATATTATCTGTGTTTTGATCTTATGCATATGATAGTTACTGACCAAGTCCCACCCACTCAATTTATGTTTCAAAAGATGTGCCACATTAACAGAAATGGAAATTTTTAATGGGTAGCATATGTATATGGTATCAGCTTATTAAATTCAAACTATTTAGTAACTAATAACTTTTAATTTGATTTATGAGGACTTGAAAATGTGGACAAAGTATAATCTGACAAAATTGAAATGGTAGGAAAATTCTTGCCTTTTGACTACATCAAAGATTTCCCCATTATTTTCTAAAAATTTAATCTCCTAGAAATAAATGTTCATTGTATAGCAATGATTGTATGGTATTTAAAATTAAAGCATGCTTGTAGATATATAGACATACTAGAAATATCATCAAATTATTGTGATTTTTGTGTAGTGTAATAACAGTTTAGTTTTCTTTATACTTCTATGTATTTTCTGCGTTTTTAGCAATAAAAATTTCTTACCCTTATAAATTTTTAAAGTTACCTTAAAATATACATGACACTGTTTTGGAATAGCAACTTAGCACTGCGATTGTTTATTTTTGAGAATACACACCTCTCTGTCTCCTTCGTAGGTCTATTGGAGAAGGCTAGTAATTATTTAACAATCTCTCTTTTTCCTTCTGGGATTTAGAGCCTGTGGAATGTACCAATTTAATGAGATCTTTCCAAAAGAGCAGAAAGCAGACATTTAGAGGAAGGCTCTCGTTTCTCTTTGGAAAGTCATAGGAAAGACAAACCCTCCTATGGGTTCATTCATGTTGAAGATAAAAAGCTTGGTTCTTTCAGCCACTCTTCGAACAGTTTCCCTGTTAAGGATATGTGCGTTCAACTCTGGCTTAAAATTCAAATTTTCTTTAGATTTTACAATAAGTATGTTTAGTGTGATTTGTTTCCAGAGAGTATTTGAAGCATGAACTTTCATCACAGTTTTTCTTTCAAACGGGAGAAGTGTAGTATAGTGGGAAACAGTATAATGGCTCAAAAGAGAGGATTGAAGTCAGATCTGAAACCCTACCTTGACCATTTGCTAAACCTGCAGTCTTAAGAGAGCTTCTTACCCTCCCTCTCAGAGTGTCAGTTTTCTCATCCATAAAATACAGATAATAGTAATGTCTGTCTCAAAGGTTGCTGCTGGAACCAACTGAGCTAATATAAGAACAGAGCTAGCTCAGGGAGGCCTCGATAAACAAGGTTTCTGTTGCGCAAATCAATGTGTTGAATAAGCATCTAATACTCCACAGTATATGTGTGCTCTAAACTGAATGTTGCAGTTTAATCAAACTCAAAACTTAGTTTATTCTAGGCACATAAATGACATGATTAAAACTTTCATTTATAGAAATCCTTTGGAATTTCCATCAGTTGAAACTTTATAGATGATAACCATCATTCATAAATTCAATATGGTTTTTTCACCAAGTCACCACTTAGAGGAAAATTCTTTGCAACAAGAGAAATAAACAAAATACAGATTTTTAAGTAGAGTAAAACCACCAAATTTTAAAGAGACAAAGCATGAAACAAAAAACAATAATTTATAGCCATCTTAGTTGCATACATCTTTAAATTTTCTAAGAACCATAAAGTGGAGCCTGCTATCATAAGTTAGGAATTATGAAGTGCCTTACAAGTGTTATTTCATTTCATCTTCACACTCTGTAAGGTATGTTTAATTATAATCCCCACTTCACAGATGAAGAAACTAAGGTACAGGAAATTGAGTGACTAATATATTATCATGTGAAACTAATAAGAAGAGCCCCAAATGATAAACTCTACTGTGAGCCTGATTATGCAGAAAACCAAAGTAAGATGGCAATATTGAGTAAGTAAATAAATGCTCTTCACAAATTCTTTTTCATCTTAGTGTAAGAATTCTTAATGATGGCTTAATTTATAGTACCATCAAAGAGGAGCTATCTTTGTGTTAAGAATTACCAGAAAATTGAAAAATGTCATCAATGAAAGGAGAAAAGAGAAGAAACAATTCTTTCTTATTTCTTGTTCAAATGTATTTTAATAATAATTTATGGGTCTGTGTGTGGATTTGGTATATTCTTTTTTTTTTTTTTTGGATTTGGTATATCATGTCATTTCCTGTCCACCTTGTTTTTCATGCATGACACAATTGTTCTTTTTTTATTTAATTTTATCTGTACATTTTAGGTATACAATATAATGACATTCATCATTGGAAATTTGCACCTTTGCATGATCTCTCTCAGTTCTTTTTTTTTCCATTCCCCTGCCCTCCCCTCAGGAGTTGTTCAGCGAAACAGCTTTCCTTAACATTCTTTCTGCTTCCATCTTTCCCCCAGATATACTGGGTTGGACCAATAATAGGAGCTGTCCTCGCTGGTGGGCTTTATGAGTATGTCTTCTGCCCAGATGCTGAACTCAAACGTCGGCTTAAGGAAGCCTTCAGCAAAGCTGCCCAACAAACAAAAGGGAGTTACATGGAGGTGGAGGACAACAGGAGTCAGGTGGAAACCGAGGACTTGATTCTGAAACCTGGCGTGGTACACGTGATTGACATCGACCGAGGCGAGGAGAAGAAGGGGAAAGACCCATCCGGAGAGGTATTGTCTTCCGTATGACTAGAAGATAGCACTGAAAGCAGACAAGATTCCTTAGAACTGTCCTCAGATTTCCTCTCACCGATTAAGGAAACAGATTTGCTATAAGTTAGACACATGCAGATTTTTCATTTCTCATCATATTACCCAGTCTAAACAATAAATATTTCATTATATACCAACGAGGAAAGGAAGAAACCTATTATAAATTTCAAGTCTAAAAAAGAAATCTTGTTAAAGTATCCTCAAAGCAAATATATATGTAGTTATATCTAGTTGCCTTTTGTTAATAACCAATTTAAAATGTGTGTCAAGATTTGATGTAGTCTTGTCCTACAGAACATAGAGACGTACCTATCAGTTTATGCCTCCGCTGAGAAAATTGGTATCATCGATAATATTGTCATTTGAATATTTGTTCCATTAAGTCAAGTTTAGCCACAGCCAAAATGCAGTATGTCACAGGGTCATGCACATTCAAAAGAAGAAATATAATAAGTTCTTTCATAACCAATCCCATATTTATAAAGTACCTCTGCAAAAGAATATGAGCAATGGTCATCGTTCATCAATTGTTTCCATTTTTATTGCAAATACCCAACTTTCAACCCAGTTCCAATTCATTATGATCCTTCTTCCTCCTCAATACACAAGATAATATGGGCTAAAGCCCAGACAATTGGAAATAATATTTAGAAATCCTCTCCATTTATTAGTCCCACCTCTTAAAACATCTAAATCATTAGAGTCACCTATTGAGATTCAGGACAAGCAGATGGGAAATCTTATAGTGAGTTGGAAAAAAAGTTACCATCATATAAAAACCACAAGAAAAAAAAAGGAAATTGGTATTCTAGCTCAAATGGCTGATCTGTTTTCAGTGCATATCCTCAAATTCATCACACAGGGTTAACAATCTAAGCTTTTAACCACTTAACCACTATGCTTATTTGTTTAATTTATTGGCAAAACTGGGGAGTTTGTGTGCTTGTAACTTTAGTTAGCTGTATTGAGACATTAGCTGAGACTTACTTTTTACAACATGAACTTAGCAACTTGGTTCGTGTCTTATTGTTGATCATTAAGCTCTGCTCACTCTGGAAGGTACAAACTGGTTCTGCCCAGTCCCAACCTCTGCTGCTCTCTCGCTTCTTGTGGCATTTGTTGATCTTCACCATAAATGTAATGATATTTGAACGACTTAAAATGTGTGGTAGGCAAAGCAGGACATGGTTGAGGAATAAAAGGGAGAGGACATCCACTTTTTTCAAACCTTTCACTTGTAGAGATATTGTATACAACCCAACCTGATTGTAAAGTATTTTGTTACTGACTAGTGTATTTGTTAAGGTAATTTGTTTTCTCTGCACTGGTTTGCCTTTTGTCAGTAGAATGTTCTCTGAAACCCCAGTTTCTATCACCCTAACTGTGGAGTCTAGCCTTTATCTTAGACAAAGAGCTGCAAATGCCAATTTTGCTGGACAAAAGCTAGTCAGAAAAAGTGACGCCCCATCACGGCAAGGAGTAGCATGTAAATAGCTGCTAATCAAAGGCTTTCTTCTCCCCATCACAGTTCCAACTGTGTGTCACTTTTTAGTGGTAATGGCAGTTGTGTGTCTGTAGCAGCACGATAATGGACCACTATTAAACCTGATTCTCTTCGGTGCTAAGAAAAGAGCACTGTGTGAGGTTCTTGGAGTCACCACACCAGTGTCACACCTCCAGGTCTCACTGGTGTATTCACATTTCTTATGGCAGGTGCCTAAAGCCAGGCCCCTACCTCAGAGCCCTGACCACAGCACCACTTCGAAAGTGATGTGGGTCACTTCCTGATTTGTGGCACCTGTAGAAACTAGGGGACGAATCTGCAAGGGTGGTTTGTTCCCTTTATTTCAAATATTTGCACAATATACCACTAAAAGCTTAAGATCCAGGGATGGTTCAGTTGGAAAAGTAACATCAACCATCAGCCAACATGTCAGTTCAAATCTAAATTTAGTTAAAAAGCAAGAATTCAACACATTTCTGAATATGCTTATAAAGTACAGGCTTACAAACATTTTTATTCTGTTATGTCATTTACTTCATATGCACTCACTTTTACACTCATTTCCAATTATAGCACTCAATAAATTAGAGGAGTTATTTTTAAAGTGAATGATATTCCTATGGTTTGTTTTTCAGCACCTAGCAGAGTGCTGGGCACATAGTAGGCATTCCAAGCAAGTTTGTTAGTAAAAACATAGAACTCTCATTTGGGATTTTAAAAATACAAATAATTTTCTAATTCTTAGTTTGTTCAACATTTAATAAAAAGCATATTTTGAGTATTATTAAAGGGAGGCATTACAAATGTGAAAACTACAAAATGTATTTTTGCATTGGACTGTGTTTAGGGGCATGAAGTGAATAGAAGCTTCAGCACTCTTTTTCCTCCATATGAGACAACATATTTTGTATTTCACTCAAGGCTTTGCCAGTGAAAAGTAATGAAATTGTACCTTTCTAATGACATCTATGCAGCAGGGGTCTACTGCCTTGTGGATGGCAGCAAATTATCCAAGTGTATTAGGAGACCAGGGCTTTTTTCTTTAATCCCTTCTTATTAATGAAGTGCATAGTGCTGCTCCCAGGAGATGGCAGCTGACAGATACACAAAGAAGAGATCAGAGAGGAAAAACCAGGAAGGCATAAATGAATTATACCCAGCCATGGAACAATGCCAACTGGCTCTTCCTGTAGGAAGAGTACACAAACACCCCAAAATTACATGGTGGCCCCTACTCTGAAAATGCACATAGTTAGTCAAAATGGTACAGGAGGGAAAGAGCCATTTTTTTGAGTTTCTGGAGTTTCATTCCAACAAAAAATTCTTAGGACCCAGATTCTGAATGTATGTTTCCATCGTTGAAAATAACATATTCTTTCAGGAGTCCTCACTTTTTTACACTGGAAAAAAGTATTTTCTGGAACCGAAACAGTTGGCCAATCTCGGGTGCTTCCACTTTGTTTCTGCCATTTGACCCTGTTCTAAGTTCCTATGTTTTCTATCATCTTCCTATCACAGCTCATAGGCCCTAGCTCAAGCTGCTGCTCGGTGTTGGCTGCTGCACAAGGAGATCAGAAATGTTTGGAAAGCAGATATGACAGAAGAGAGGTCTGTGATAGATTAAAGGCCAGACTCCAAACAGAGTATTCGCCTAGGCCATAATCCAGGCCACTCTTGTTTAAACTCGATAGTGACAGGGAAATTCCAAAATAGAGGAGCAAATTCAAATGCTAAATTTAATCCTGAAAAGGCTGTTTGTTGCAGCACATTGACTCTATCCCGCACTTACTAGCAGGTGACAGAGAAATTGCTTTTGTGACAACTGAAGATGACAATCTGATGAATAGACAACCTTATCAAAAAAATGTATAAAAGCCAATATAAATCCTGACTATCAGCATCATACAATGAATTCAGAACACTTTATACCTGGAAGTACGTGTCTTCCCTAGAGTGGTTATAGCATGAGAATCACTAAGAAAACAGGGTTACTACCTGGACACTATAATGGAACAAAAATCACTGCCTTTGCCTCAAATTTTGTGAGTTCACACTTGTGTTTTAATGCTTTACAAATCACCCCAAAACAACACTAACTTTTGAAACCTATGATTCTATGAAATAAATGAAAGACACTTAATTCAAGGATCAAAAACTGTGGCCACTCACTTTTGCAAATGACTATCAATGGCCCATGAAATACATATCCAATAAATGGTACACAGCATGAGCAATGAACACTGAACTGAAGAGCAGTTATAATGTTACTCATTAGTATTGAAAATCAAAGGGCAAACACACACACCTACTTGTGTAACCCACTGGAATATATTTCCAGCTTCTCTTCAGGATTAATTAAATAAACATGCAATTTGTGAAAATATACACACAATTATTTATCATTTTTATGATCCAAATCATAATAAAATTGTAATTCATGATAAACCAGGGAGAATAAGCTGAACATATGGTTATATTCACAATTATTTATTAACTGAAGTGTTATTTCAACATTAGAGTTAATGTTAAAGAGATTTAAACTGTAATGTCTAATATTTGGAATAATCTATTAAAGTATTAGCACTGTGGTTGATTTCTATGAATTATGTTGCATCTCATACAACTAAGCTTGTACAAATAAACTTCTAAGTGTTTTAAAAGTAAGCATTGTGTTTGATTATGTTCCAAAATTCATTTACAGTTTTTGCAGATTAGACCTTATGAGCTTCCTTTAGAATGAACAAGAGGTTTAGGTTTTTGAATATAATCAGCACCAAATGAAATGATGATGGAATCCATGAAACCAAAAGTATTTTGAAAGCCTGCAAAGTATACACTGTGGTGGGCTTATATAGACAGTGAAAATTATATTTTCCCAGGCTTGTTTCAGAATGTCCACATCCGTGCAAAATAGGCCATGGGATATCACCTGTCATTATTGTGAGTCTGAAAGTGAAGACTCAAACAACTGCGACTGGTATTGCTAAATAGATGAGCCATCCTCGGGGCATTTGGCAGATTCTGCCTACCCAGATGGATAATGTAGGCTCAGTGAGTACTGGCTCACCCCCTGGATTCTTGTTGGAGGGTCTTCTCAATTTTGAGATGTTATAGACTCTCAGTGGAGGACTGAGGACAATCATATATGTAGTATGAGACTCATCCCAGTAGTCGTGAATGGTGCCTTAGGAGCCAGGTGGATATACACCTCTCACAGCATTTGTCACATTGTAGCGAAGTCATGTGTGTGGCTACCTGTCTCTTCTGCTAGATTTTAAACCATTTACAGGTTAAAACTGTGTATTACATATTCTATGCCTTTACCCATCCCCACCACAACTCTTAGGCACTGAAAAGAGGCTTGACATCCTACTTAATAAGCACTTTCTGTATGGACAGAAAAGTTAATTAGTGTCTTACAATCATTAAGAAATGCTTCAAAGCATTACTCTTCAATCTAGTTGCTTTTGGCTGCAGAGCTGTCTGCTAAATGTTTGAATTCTTATAGTTCCAGGTAAGAGCCTGAAATTATCTCAGACACTAAAGAAAAAGACAAATGCACACAAAGAATGAAACACTAATTGGATTTCTAAAATTTATACCTAAAGTGTAAACAACAAGACCTGTTTTCACTACTATATTTATACAATGACCAGATGTTACAGGAAATTTGGCTCAACGAGTATCTCAGCAAGAAAATTATTTTAACAAGCATGGAAAGCTAAAGATATAAATGTCAGCCTGCTTTTAGATAATTATCCCACTGGAAAATGTCCAAAACAACATGTCACCTGAATTAATTTTTACTATTTTTTTTCAGTTTTTCCATTTCTTCATTACTTGGATTTAAGGAGACATTGAAAACCTTAAAAAGCTGAGTTGAATTCTTCTATCTCCACATGTTCAAAACTCCCTAAGTAACTGTGACATTAATGTTTATAATCTTTTTGTACAACCCAGTGATAGCACAAAGTGAGTACCCAATAACTGTAAAATGAATAGATAGATAAATGGACTGTATGAATGAATGATAAAAGAAGCACTCCAATCTTCAGGTATTAGGGTCATCGGTAAACAAAGGGAAGCCATAGCCTGGACTCCTTCTTCCCTTTCAAGGTTCATTTTCCACAGAAGAGATAGAGATTTATGAGAATATTACCCTCAGATAAGAAGGGAAGACAAAAATGGAATAATTACAATAATTATCAATTATGAGCACATACGTATGGGGCTCTAGAATTTAGTCTTCAAGGCTTATTATGAGGCAAGTGTTACTATTGCCCACATCTCCAATGGTGAGGAAACCAAGCACTAAGAGGAATAAGTAAACGCTGGAGATTTTGTTCAGTGGTAACATTGCCTATGTGTCCAAGATCCTGGGTTTGATCCCCAGTACCACCAAAAACATCACAGTGATTAAGAGGAATAAGTAAATTTCCCAAGATGTCACATCTAGTAGTACAGCAAAATCTGGAACCCACATCTCAATTAATTTCAATCTTGACATAATTTTCCATCAGCTGAATTTCCCTTCAATGACATATGTATCTCCAGGCTAGGGGAACTCAGTGTACCACACCACATGGCTATAAGTTAAGTACTGCAGACCTGGAGTAAATATTACAGACCTGGAGTAAATATTATGGACCTTAACTAAGGTCTCAAAATAGAATAGGGTTGACAACTACAGTGGATGTACTGGATACTTCAGATAATTTGGGAAATTTTTGGTTTAATTTTTCTTTGGAAAATATTTTCAAGACTGCTATGAATATTGCACTTGATGCAGCAAGTACTAAAGTTGAGGACTCATTGCAAAGTTACCATTAAAGTCTTCTATATTCAACCATAGTAACAATAGCTTTCATTGTTGAGCACTTACTCTGCACTGGTTATATGCTCTATACAGAATGCTTTTTTCTCTCCAAAACCTTATGAAGTAGGTATTGCAGTTATCCCTGTTTTACAGGCTAGGAAACCAAAGTCTAAGGAAAGTGAGTACCTTATTAAAAGTCACAGTGCAGGGCCTGGGATTTAGCTCAGTGGCATTGTGCCTGCCTGGCAATCACAAAGTCCTGAGTTCGATTCCCAGTACCCCCCTCTAAATCTAAAGCCTTAAAATCACAATGCTGCTGTGGATAGAGGTGGGATTTGCACCCGGGCAGTCTGTCCACAGGTCTCTGCTCTTAGCCCTTGCTCTATACAGCCTTTTGGCTATGGTGTTTTAGTTCCAACTTTCATTATCTGCCTTTTGCAAGCCTTTGATTTTTCATATCCAGTGGAGATTGCAATGCATTGGAACTTCTCTGTTGTTCCCGACCCAATCTCTTACTATCATTTTGACCACCTCTGAAGGAGGATTTAAACATTCAAGGGCAAATGCAGCAAAGATAAATCAGCTAAGCTTCCAAAGTGCTTCTGAAAGGGACTTTGAATGGCCAAGAAAATTTTCTTCAGTGAGCAGGAAGACAGAAACCTATGCCTTCCATTGTTTCAAACAAAACTAACTCTTTATCTAGTCTGACAGTTTCTTTTTGCCCTTTGTTGAGGCTTAAACCTTCATCCCAATTTTGTCAGCATATATTTTAATCCTTATTTACCTATTAGTCACCCAATCCACATATACTTGAGTGCCTATTTTGTTCAAGGATCAATAGAAATTTTTAATAATTAAATATCTTTATCAGATATACACTCAATAAATTATTACTAAGGGAGTCAGTAAGTAGGACTTAGCAATAATCTGAACTACCATACGGTCACCTACCCTACACCAACCTATAGAGTTAAAAGGTTGCTTTTCAAAAAATGAAAAATAAAGGTATTTTTAAATGGACTACATTGTATTATTGTCACACTGGCAATAGCTTTGAGAAATAATTGGATATAATGATCATTGCTAATATTTTTTCCTCAACAAGAGGGGAAAGATTTGTGTGTAGAAAATAAGATTTAATAGGGCCCGGGATTTAGCTCAGTGGCACTGAGCCTGCCTCGCAAGCACAAAGTCCTGAGTTTTATCCCTGGTATGGAAAATAAGATTTAATATACCTATTTCCACCTTGTTTCCAAAATACTGAATTGTAATTTAAGTCCCCAAATATTCTGACTCCAGACTAGCAGAAGACAAAAAGTACATAAGTAAAAACAAACCAACAAAAAGTAAATCTTGTTAAGCACATTACCAAGGACTGCAGACATTTACTTGTTTAAATTTTGGGCTTTTAGAGGAAAAAGAACGACAAAGGAATGAAGATGAAGGGAGACACTAGAAAGAGTCCCCCAGCTCTCCCGCCTGCCTCTCTATGCAGCAATCACTGAAACAGCAGCTGTCCCTGCACAGTTTAGAAAAGTCCTGTGCCAAGATCGCATGTTGTCCTCCCGGATTGTAATTAGAGGGCCCCAGAGAGAATTGGACTATGCATCCTCTTTGACAAACCTAAGCCCTTATCTCAATTGAACTGTCAAAATGTCAGGCTAAAGGGAAATAGATCCTTCCGGTAGAGTGAAAAGACTCACTGAATCTCGATTTCCAGCAAGGAATGCAGAATGAAAGCAAGATCTCCCATTTCTCTCAAGAAAGCTAGTCTCTAAAATTTCTCCTTAAAAAAAAAACAACTTGTGAACCTAAATCTCAGCTTGTGGTTCCTGGAAACGCTTCATCATATTAAGCTGCTCCAAGATTTCAATGTCAAAACTTATCACAAAGGACTTGAATTTTATCTCATTGTTCCAAAAGCTGACATTATGGAAACAGTTGGACTGAGGATCGAGACAAGAGCAGCCGAGATTTCTCCAGTGACCTGCAATAAGGAAGAGTTGAGGAATACCGATATAGATTATTCAGCCCTGTGGTGTTGGTTCATTGTGGTTAAATCATTCATATTCTTTGAACTCTAATAAAAAATTCTCATCAAACAATGATGACATTTTCATCTCATCAAAATTTAATCACAAGAGTATTGTAATTCTGATTTTCTTCACCTCAGTTCAAATTGAAAGTAATTGTCAGACATCGTTTTAATTCTAACCATTCCATCCATTCTTACACATTCTCCCTCACATTATCATGGCCCTTTTTGTTCTCTAAAAGGCATGTCATTTTTGCCTATTATTCAAGCAGTTTTAAAATAATTTTGTCACCTACTTACAAATAGTACACTTATGGCTCATTTTAAAACACATCTGAGATAACAATACAAGAGAAAGATTCTT